TCCACCCTCAGGTCCCAGCCACCCTCCCTTTGGTGGTGATGGGATTTGTCTTTCCCAATGTCTTGATGGCTTTAGTCTGGAGTGGGGGTGGGGTCCACAAAGCCTGTATGGGATTAACTTAGGACATCCTTTCCCTCTAACAAATCTAGCCACTAGTGTATACTATTGAATAAGTACTAGGGGGAAAGGATGTCCTGAGCAAACGCCATACAGGTTTTGTGGACTCCACCCCCACTCCAGACCAAAGCCATCAGGACATTGGGAATGACAAATCCCGTCATCACCAAAGGGAGGGTTGCAGGGAACTGAGGGTGGAGTTAAGCAGCCAGAGGGCTCTCTTGACCTCACGGCTCTTTGCCCTTTGCCAGCTCTCAGTGTGCCTTTGGGATTCCAGGTCAGCGGAACTGGTAGGATGCATTCACGAATTTATCTCCCTCTTTTCTCACTGAGTTATTCATTTCTTCATTTCCCCCTTCTTTTGTAAATAAACCTTTTATTAACCATTTGCATGAGCCTGCTGTTGAGTATTCCTAAGTCCCTTTCAAGCACACAGGTGAGGACCCACAGTCAGGCAACCTGTTTCGTATCAGGGTTGCCTGTAACACAAGTACAAGAGTTTATTCACAGAGTAGGGGAAAAGACTTACAAATCAAATCATGTATCTGATAAAGGAATTGTATTTATAATTTATATTATAAATGAAGACTTACAACTCAACAGTAAGAAAAGAAACGATCCAATGCAAAAATGGACAAAATACTTCACCAATGAAAAGATACAGATGCCAAATAACTATGATGTTTGATATCACAAGTTATTAGGGAAAGACAGACTAAAAACAACAGTGATACTCTCACAGGGTGATGCCCAGGAAAGGGTGAGGTTCCAGGTTCCCTGCCCCACCCAAAAGAGGGTGGGGCTGAGCGGGGAGGAGAAGCTGCAGAGGAGACTGGAGAAGGAAGGAAGCAGGATGGAGCCAGAAGGAGACCTGGAGGAGCACATGGAGGCGAGAGACACATGCGATGAAACTGCGCTTGCCTTTTGGTCGTGGACTGGGTGACACCGATGTGGGTGAGAGACCTGTGGGGAGGCAACAGTGGCAGCTTTTACCTTGATTTTGATTTTGCTCTTTTCCTTCCAGATTTCTCTGCTTGTTTCTGATGCTTTTCTGTGGGTCCCGGCCAGAGGGTGCTTTGGACTTGTGGCCTTGGGGCCTTACTCTGGGCCAATCCTGCTTGAGTGGACTTTTACCCACAAGGGGACAGGTAACTTTGGGTGCGTGATTTAGAAACTATATTCTTTAACTTTCCTGTATTGTTTACTAATTGTATTAAAGTTCCTTTTCATTAAAGTCTTAAATGTTTTGTGTTGATGTAGTGGGTGGCAGAACCTATTTAGAGCAGGCAGCTTTGGGGGTTCTGGGGTGCCCCTCTCCCTGCCCTGTAACAGGAGCATGAAAAGAACATTAGGAAAATTAATGAAATCCAAACACAGGGCAGAGTTTAGTGAAAGTGCATCAATATTGCTTTCTTAGCTGCACAAATGCATTCGTTATCAATTTGGAAATGATGTGGGTTATATAGGAGTTCTGCTGCTACCTTTGAAACTTTTCTGTAAATATAACAGTATTTTTTAAAATATTGTTTTAAATTAAAATAACATTTTAAAAACAGCCCTCAACAAAGTTATAGTTGTAGAAGGGAAGAAAGGTCTACTTTCCAGTTTTCCGAGGTATTGCTATAAAAGACTGGAGAGAAGGGTCCTGGGGAGAAAAGCTGGAAACCTCACACCCAGGGCAGGCTCCGGAGTCTCCTCCCCTCTGAGCCCCGTTTCTCTGACTCCTCACAGAGCATCTCACCCCCAGGACGCCGCCCTCCAGGACCCCCAACTCTGCCCACCTCAGCCCCCACCCCGTCCTGGCGGCGCCACCAGAATCCGGAACAGCGCGGCAGCGCCCCCGTGTGGCCACAGGGCTGAGCACAGAAGACCAGAGCTGCCCTTTCTCCTGCTCAGCCAGGCCCTCCCCAGGGCCCCCTGGGATCCCAGCGGCAGGACAGGTCCACGGTCACGTTAGGGGTCCTCAAATTGACCCCCTAGTGGGTAACTATGGGTATAGGCTTCAGGGAAGAACCAGGTGTCCAGGTCATAACAGTTGCTGTCCCAGGTTCTGGGTCCCCAAATTATCCGGGTTCCCTCAATCTCATCAGATGGGAACTTGGACTCCAGAGTCCCTGTTATTTGTTCCTGCTTCCAGGGATGAAAGTGCTTCTTCCTGAGCATCAGCCCTAAATTCTCCATCCCTAGGGTGGGGGATGGGCTAAGTAAGAGACTCTCAGGCTCTGTTCTAGACCTTCTGAGTCTTCATGAGCGTCCAGGTCGCTCCTGTGCTCACTGAAGTGGGGGCTCCCTGGTCTCCGTGTCTTCACCATGTGGGGTCAGACTGTCTAGTCAGCTCTCGGGGGCATCTGCTCTGATTGCTCACCACTGTGGAATCTGGGGTTCAATTCTGCTCCTTTTTCATGCTGAGTCATCACTTCCTGGGTGACCCTTACATGCTCAAGACTAAATATCATTGACATCACATCACCTCCCAGATCTCTTTCTTACCTCAGACATTTCACCTGTGCCCAGACTTGTCTGTCCAAGTGCCAACATCGCTTTCAATTCTAATTGATCTCATTCAACTTTCCTAAAGTGAATGCTTAGGATGCCCGCATATGAGTCTTCTGGGGTCTTCCCCATGTCACTGAGGCTCCACCTCTCTGCCTGCACAGTCTGAAACACTGGGTGTCATCCTTGACCCCTTACTCACAGCTCTGCAGTAGGAAACACTGTAAAGTCCATGTCTAAATATTCATAATCCTATCACTTCTTATTTTCCCTGTTCACCCCCAAAATGAGCCACCAACCTCTGTGTCCTGGGACCTGCACTGGTTTCCTCCATTTCTCTCCCAACCTCTCACTCTTCCATGCTGCATAGTAGCTAGACTGAGGCTACCAGAGAGAAGTCCCACAGCTATATATCTGTGCAGAAGGTCTTGTCACCCCACATCTTACTCAGAGAGTCAAACCCTCCCAACATCCTCAGGCTGAATGATCTGAGTGCATACAGATCCCATCTCAGTTGGCCTCTGCTCCAGCCCTTGGCCTCCTGCTCATGTCAGTCACACAGACATTCCTGCTCAGATATCTGCATTGGAGTTTCTCCTGTCTGGACTGAACTTCCCTGCACATCACATCCTTGTGGGCAACGTGTCCATCAGACTTTTTCTCAACGATCACTTCAGTGAGACCCACACTGACCAAGCTGGGAAGAAAACCATCCTGTCCCCACACACTGACTCTGGTCACCCTTCCCATCCTTTACCCACTTCTTTTTTTTTTTTTTTTTATAGAGGCATGTTTTTATTTATTTATTTTATTTGTTCGTTTTGCTTATACATGCACTGGGTACAGTCAGAAGCGCGGGAGGGTGAGAGAATTCACCAGAGCCAGAGCGGGGTGCAGAGCAGGCAGAGGACTGAAGTACACTGCTGAGGGGAGCAGCGGGCGGCAGGAGAGGTCTGCGCGCCATGTGGGACCCTCCTCTGGTGGCCGGGGAGCAGCCGGGGATCGAACCGGCGCCGCAGAGGCCGCGGGCAGCTTCGCAACCCAGCGCTCAACCACTGCGCCACCGGGGAGGCCCCCCTTTACCCACTTCTAACCAGACACGCGTGGTTGACTGTCTGATCTGCTGTCACACAGTCCCCAGTCTCCCCTCCTCACTAGGACACACTCCCCACAGGCCACAAGTTGTGAATGTTTTTAGTTCATTGAGGCTTCCTAGATGCAAAAACAGTCAGTCACACATCTGGTTATCAGTTGTGTCGTCAGTGTAGAGCACCTCCCTGTTCTAGAGACAGTGTCTTTACTAATGTGGCACATTACACCGGTGTATTTCTTTTGAAAAGAGATTCCTAGGTTTGGGTTTTTTTTTTTTAATTTATTTTTGCATAGAAGAAATGAGACGTAGGTCAGAAGTGCAGGGATGCAGTTGGTGAGAGGATTCACCAGAGACAAGAGTGGGGAGCAGAATAGGTGGATTTACTGAAATACACTGCTGAGGGGAGCAGAGGCAAAACAGGAGAGGTCTACTGTGCCATGTGTAGGTTAGCTCCCTGGCTAGGGATCAAACTCTAGGGATCAAACTCGGGGTGTAGAAGTGATGGCGCTGAGACTTAACCCCTGTGCTACCAGGGAGGACCAAGTTCCTAGGCTTATAAGTCCTATTTTTCAGCCAACTATGAATTGACAGAATCATTTCATAGGTCCTGGTTAGTACCAGCACTAGGGTTACTGCATTTAAGGACAGGGTTACAGGGAGAAGCTGGAGAGAACAATAGAAATCAGAAACTTATCTAAATCCATCAGGAAATTATCAAATCCTCCTCTCTAATAATACCAGGATTTTGTTGGAGAAGATGTAAAGAATCATCCAGAAAAGTCGTAAAATGAGGCCAAAAATCAGATGAGTCTGGAAATCCATCTCACCAGACTCCTGTGTGCAGGGGACACCCTGGTCCTTGTGAGGACAATGACAGATGCTCCTGCTGCTGTCAGAGACAAGGACCAAGAGGACATGAGGCCTGGTCTCTAAAAGAATAGGCATAAAGGCAAAAACCAACCAAACAAACAAAAACCCAAAGCAGCAAAATACATAGAAAGGCTAGACCCTGAGCTGAGCCTGAGCTGACCCGGCTACACGCAGTCTCCACCCACATCCTGGAGACAGGACAGGCCCAGGTGGGGTCTGAGTCCCTGTGATCACAGGCCCTGCTGGGACAAGTGCTCCTGAAGGATAAGGACAAAGGAGCAGAGAGATGACCCCTGAGGAGTGACCACGTCAAAGCCCACGACGCACTGAGCACCAACTGGACACAGGCCCCGTCTCCCTCGGCTCCTCACAGCCTCTCCCGCCCCCACCTGCACAGACTCAGCACAGCAAACACGTGGTTCTGGAAGGTTTCCCATTTATTTCATCTCAAATTTTAGGAATCATTTTTATTAGCCCACCAAACCCATCAGGCAAGCTTACAAAAAGTAATTTCAGGTTATTATTTCAAGGGGGAAGTAGTTACTATTCTTGAAGAAAACACAATGATGGGTAGACACAGACTAAGCTGCTTCTGCTGCAGTAGGAAAATCATTAGGGAAAGACACAGGTCAGTGTGGGGAGGGGCCTGGTGGGCAGGGCTGGGCCAGTCTCCCCACCTCCTTGCATTATCTCATAAGAACAGAGACACATTCTGATGCCCTTTTGCAGCAAAGGAAACCAGCAGATCTTGAAGCTACAAAGTGGGGGTGAGAAAATATCCGGCATCACTCAGCCCCGACCAGGCAGCTGGCTTACACTGTGAAGGAAAAGGATCATAAGAAATTTCAAAGAAACACACATAAGCGTGGACATTCTCCATAATCCACCGCATCCTCAGAATGTCCCTCTCACAGCTTCCCCATCACCTGGTCCCATCCTCTCTGCCCCAACCCCTCCCATCACAGGCCTCCAGGGTCTCACCTTTAGAGGCTGTCAGACTCCTCAGAGCACTGGGCACTGTCGCTGCCTGCAGGAGAACAAAACAGAACCTGTTCAGAGCCACAGAGATGAGGCCACAGGAGGGACTGATGAGGGTGACCCCCCTCATGGGCTCCATTTACATTGTCCCCAGGGGCTCAGGGGCCAACCCCCTGATCCACATTTACCTGCAGCCTGAGTGTAGCTTCCTCCTTGTTCTCCTGTGGGAAGAAACAGCATGTGAGACCAGGGAGGAGTCAGGCCATGAGGTTCTGAAGGAATCCCCAAGTCTGGACCACAGGGAAGTTTCCAGAACTGTGACTGGACACTTAGGGCAGCATCAGGAAATATGAAGAAAGGAGATGAGAGGGGACTGGACCAACTGCCTCCTGGGTCTGCCCTCAACAGGGACCTTTCCCTCTGCCCTTTGCTGGAATCAGGGCCCCATCACCAGAATTATCAAGGTGAACAATCTTTGATTCATTTTCAAAAATGCTTCACAAAAGAGGGTGAGCAATCAGCTCCAGACTAGGGAACACACATGTGTGGATGGTACCTCCCATTACCAAGTAGGGCAAGTTCTCCCTGTGGCCTGAAAGCCCCCCACTAGACAAGATCCCCCACTCCCTTCCCTACCTGAGTGCTTCTTCCTCCACATCACAGCTGCAGCCACCGCAGCTCCAGTGAGCACAGCTCCAAGGAGAACGAGGCCAGCAATGATGCCCACGGTGGGGTTAGTGGAGTCAGTAGGAACGGTGGGCTGAGAAGGTGGCACTGGAAGTGAAGGGACGAGAAGGTGAGACCCTGAGCCCGAGGCTTCCATCTGATGCTCTGAAGGTCTCCAGAAGGGTCTTGATGCCCCTGAGAAATTCTGTGCCCACATTCCCTTCTTACCCCAAGTCAGGACTCTGGGCTCCTGCAGGCCCTCATGCTGCACATGGCACGTGTATCTCTGCTCCTCTCCAGAAGGCACCTCCACAGCTGCCCACTTCTGGAAGGTTCCGTCCCCCCCAGGCCTGGTCTCCCCCAGCTCTGTGTCCTGGGTCAGGTCCTCCCCATCTCGCTGCCAGGTCAGGGTGATGTCCGCAGGGTAGAAGCCCAGGGCCCAGCACCTCAGGGTGACCTTCTGGTGAGAGGTGGTGTGGTGGGTCACCTGTGTCTTTGGGGGATCTGAAGAGAAGGATGAGAATTTTCACACTTTGACTTTTTCCTCATGGACCTGAAAAACCCTCCTGTGACCATTCTCAGAATGGACAAGGCAATGGTTTAGAAGAGGAAGAACAAAATCTATAAATCAGGCCTGTCTGGGGAGTCTAGGATAATCTCTTATTCCTTAGAAAGTTCTAGAATTAGGGCGGACAGCTCTAGATAGGAGATCGCAGTTTACTAAGGAGAAGAGCAGAGACTTTTGGGGACAGATCTCTGACTCCTCAGAAAAGCAGGAGTCAGATCACAAAAATGCCCTCTGATCTGTAACAAGACCCTGAGGGAAACACTGATGATTCCCAAGAGGGCTGCGGGTCAAAAGGATCCGGTGAAGGGTGATTTCAGGGCTGGTCTCCCCTCAGACTCAGGAGAGACTGGATTCCTTAACTGTTCTGAGGAGAAGTGGGGTCCTCTGGGGAGTCAGGAAACCCAGGGGGCTCCTCCCCCCGACCAGAGAGGGGGCGCTGCTGTGACCCTGACTCCACCCTCCCCGCGGTGCTGGCCTGAGGGGGGTTGGGAGACCCGCGGCCCCTCTTACCTGAGCGCTGCAGCGTCTCCTTCCCCATGTCCAGGTAACTGCGCAGCCACTGCACGCACCTGCCCTCCAGGTAGTTCCTCAGGTGATCCGCATTTCTGAGCGCCTCCCACTCGCGCCGGGTGAGCTGAGCGGCCGTGTCCGCCGCGGTCCAGGAGCGCAGGTCCTCGTTGAGGGCCAGGTAATCGGCGCCGTCGTAGGCCCACTGACTGTACCCGCGGAGGAGGCGCCCGTCGGGCCCCACGTCACAGCCAGACATCTGCTGGAAGGTGTGAGAGCCTGTCCCCGCCCCGTCACCCCGCAGTCATCCCGCCCGCCCCACCGGGAATAAACCGAAACTGACGCGGGAACCTCGCGGGGAACGTCCCGGGGCTCGTCCCGGGTCGAGGGTCCGGCGGGTCCCCCTGCCTCGGGGGACGCTCGGGCCCGGGGTCTGGGGTCCCGCCCGCCCGCGGGGGTGGGGTCGTGAGCGCCCCGGGCCCGCCCCGCTCACCGGCCGCGCTCTGGTTGTAGTAGCCGCGCAGGGCGCGCAGGTTCTCTCGGAACGTCTGTGCGGCGCCCTTTGCTCTCCGCGTCTCCCCCTCCCAGTACTCCGGCCCCTCCAGCTCCATCCAGGGCGCCCGCGGCTCCATCCTCGGACTCGCCGCGTCGCTGTCGAACCGCACGAACTGCGTGTCGTCCACGTAGCCCACCTCCACGTACCGGGGCTCCCCGAGGCCGGGCCGGGACATCGCGGAGAGGAAATACTTCATGGAGTGGGAGCCTGGGGGCGGGAGGGGAGACACGGGCTGACCCTCCTACCTGGGAGGTCCCGGGGAGATGGGATTAGAGGGGAGGGGGCGAGGGGGCTCCTGAGATTGAAATGGGGCAGCGGATGAGGAGGCTGGAGACTCAGGGGCGGCGAAAGGAGGCGGGAGGCTGGCAGGGACAGAAAGAGGGCTAGTGCAGGGTGGGGTCACGGGGGACAACAGGGTCAGCAATGGCGGGGACGCGCCTTTCCCAGGGTCCTGCGCCCCCGCCGGGGTTCCTCCAGTTCCCCCTCCTCAGTGGCCTTTTCCCTCCTGAGCTCACCTGCCCAGGTCTCCCTCAGTGCCAGGGCCCAGGAGAGCAGCTGCAGGAAGGGTGGGGGCCTCATGACAGGTGCTCTTGGGTCTGGGGAGACCCTGAGTCCAGACTGGTCAGTGGAGAATTTGTAACCGGTGCCTCGGAGCTGCTGATTGGCTGCTCTGGAGACCTCCAGGCAATGGGGAGTGAGAACTGGCGTGAGTCACCAGTATCCAGGAAGGAAGACCCCACACAGGTTGTGAGAAGAAGTGAAACTGGGAAGATTGGGAATTCCCAGCAGTGAACTTGTGGCCTCATTTTAATACTTTTCTGTTTCTCATTGTTAACAACTGACAGTGTTTTTTTTACTACTTCCTGGTCTGAATATGCTTTTTCCCATTTTGTATTTTGTATAGTGAACACACATTTTATACACACACACACAGACACATCATAGCCAGAATAAACCAGGTCTTCCTAAATTTTGAAAGGAAAGGGGTGGCAGGTGGTCGTCAGGCTCAGCGCAGAGCTGAAGGGCTGGGCTCTGTGTCTGCTCTGGGCGGGGCCCTCACAGCCCTTCCTCCTCCTCAGGACGCTGCTCTCTGTGGAGCCCGCGCAGGGTCTCGCCCTTCTCTTCTGGGTGTGACCATTTATTACTATATTGTAAATTCTGATGCTTTTGGCATTTCACATTGCATTTTTAATATTTTCTGTAGGAAGGTGTGTCCACCCATCCAGCCACCTTTGCCAGGTGGAAATTCTAAGGCAAAATAGTGCAGTGACAAGATGGCCAGTCCTAGAGCAGAGGGTCAGAACCTGAGAACACGTGACTGAGGCTGATCTGCCAACTGTTTCATAGTGTCAGGATTGCAGTGTGACTTATTTTTGATACTAAATGATTTTCATAATAACTGATATTTGCTATTCATGCACACAGAGAGGATTCATAAGTACTCTAGAACATACACAAATACATAAGTCACATCATCCTCTGGTCAACCAAGTCTCCTCTACTCTGAACCCACTGCAGTTAGCAACTCCTCATTTCTCTTCCCAGAAAAGTCTATACATTGATGTGAGTGTTAGGTCTATAAAAGAGCTTGGGCCACAGACCAGGAGAAAATATTTGCAAGACGCAACTCTGATATAATACATGTTTTAGAATATGCATGGAACCCTTAAAATTCAACAAGGAACAAATAACTTTTTAAAAGTTGAGCAAAATGCTGAGCAGTTTCCAAGGAAGCTATATGGTGGCAGCTAGGCATATGAACAGATACTCAATATGTCGAAAGACATACATAAATGCAAGTGCAAGTCAAAGCAACTAGGACACGCAATCCACACCTATAATTTGGCCTAAATCCAAATACTAGTACAGCAGCCCCCCTTTATCCATGTGGGATGTATTCCAAGACCCCCAGTGGATGCCTGAACCACCTATAGTATGGAGTCCTGTAAACATGAAGCTTTCCCTGTACACACATACATATGATACGTTTACTTTATAAATTAGACACAGTGTGATTAATAACAATAACATATTAAAACAGGACAATCAAAATCACAACAGACTATACTGTACTGTAATAAATGTGTGAATGTGATCTCTCTCTAAATATCTTATTACGACTTTGAATCTAGGTTAATTGCAGGAAAATGAAGCCTTAGAAAGTGAAACCTCAGGTAAGGGGGTATGGCATACTGTGCTGAGCAGGATGAGGAGCAACAGGGACCCCCATTCAATGCCAGGAGAAATGAAAAATAGCACAGTCACTATGGAAGAGATTTGGCAATTTCAATTTCTTATTAAGTGAAACACAGATTTACCCTAAAACCTGCTGATCACCTTCCTGGTTAGTCACCCAACTCACTTGAGAACTTTTGTTTACACAAAACCTTCACACAAATGATTACAGCCGAGCACCCCTTAAGTGTGGGCTCCACATGGTGACGCCTTCCAACAACTGCTGTGTGGAAAGGGACACAGGAAAGAAAGATCTTCCCAGGGAGGAGGTGGAGACCCGGCCTCAGCCGGGGGTGGGGGGGTATGGAGGGGTGTGGGGAGTGTGGGGGGGAAAGTGACATCGCCAGTGAGGAGCAGGTGCAGGTGACTCTCCAGGGCGCTGTGCTGAGAAGGGCCCTTTATGTTTCTGTTTTTTTCCCCAACCCCATCACCCCAGTCAACCAAACTCAAATTGAGGGCCCTTCTACAACACACCTGAGCAGCGCTCCCCTAAATGCCAAGATCATCAAAACCAAGGAGAGTCTGAGAGACTGGCTCAGCCAGAGGAGCCTCAGGAGACACGACTGGGACTTAATGTGGTATCAGGATGGGAGCCTGGAACACACTAATGACATCCAAATAAGTGTGGAGTTTAGTAATAATATCAATATCATGTCATTAGCTGTGCAAACACTGAATGAGGAAGTTAGGAAATAGGAACAAACAGGGAGTTAGGAGCAGGGCCCCAAGGCTCAAGCCCATTTCTCAATCTGAACAATCAGTGGGAACTCGGAGGGGCTCCCCCAAGCCCAGATGTCTCAAACTCATTTATCGAACTAAATGGGAAACCATCGATGGGCGTCAGGGGCCACCAACCCAGTTAACAATGGAATGTGCAGGACACGACAATGACAGGACGCTCAGGCCACAGACCAAAGCCGGTTCTGGGAAGACAGGCCAGGAACGTGGACAATTCAGTGGACCTCAGTGACCTAGGAGACCCATGGACTCCAACCAATCAGCAAGAGACACAACATGGAGACACCCAGTGGCCAAACACCCCCACTCCTTGCCAACTATACCCTTATAAACTCCTGCTTTTAGGCCCTCAGTAGTAACCCCCTGGGGATTACTACTGACCCCTTTCTGCTCAGAGAGCTTTCCTATCCTTAGTAACTGTCAGTAACCTTCTTGCTTTTCTGTCTAACTACAAAAGAACTGAGAGACTCCCCAGGAGTCCCCAGGCTCCCAGGCCCTATTCATCATGAAAGTGATAGTGATTAACAACAGGGGATATGTGTGTGGGAATTACAGGAATTCTGTGATAATTTTACAGGTTTTCTGTAAATTATAAATTACCCTAAAATAACAACGTTTATTTTGAAAAACAGCCCTCAGGAATGTAGACTGATCCAATCCCTGTGGAAAATAATGTTCAGGCTTCTCAAAACATTAAAAATGATAGAGCATAATATCCAGCAATGCCACCCTTTTCTGTTTAGCCAAAGATACAAAAACACCAACTTGAAAAGACGCACGCATCCTGTGCTCACAGCAGCACCCTGAACAGTAGCCGAGTTAGGGGAACAACCTAAGTGCCCAAAGGCAGAGGAGCAGGGTAAGAAGATGTGGCATATATACTCAGTGGGATATTATTCA